TAGAAATATTATGTTACAGGGAGGAAAAACAAGACGCTCTCAAGCTTGCAGATAGAAAGACAAAAGAACCGTCAGCCACAGCGTTCAGTGTACATTCACTCAGTGACTCTTTTTTCAATAGATTCCATAATAGCTTTATCATTCCTCCTCCTCCTGTTCCCACTTCTCTTAATGTTCTGATTTCTTGTTTCTCTTTTATTCAGTTTAATGGCGGGGGGGGGCTACTCTGTCTCGGCTTTGTACTCTCTGCACCGCATTTCTTCCTGTGCAGCATCTCTCTTTCAGCCCTCTTCTGTTTCTTTCTCTCTTTCTATCCGATCTGCACCCCTTCCTCTTTATTCCGTAAATCCATCCCTTCTTTTTCTCTCTCCGCTGTCCACTTTCTGATCTCCGATATATTTATTATGCCGTAACGAGAAACAGGCCATGACAGCTCAGGCGGCTAGCTGCAGGTCTTCCACCGCCGCGGTCCGGTCTCGTTCACAGGTCAGGTAATGTGGGATTTATGGTGGACACGGTGGCACTTAGGCAGATGTTCTCTGAATACTTCGGTTTCCTCTGCCAGTTCTCAGTGAACCAGCTGCTCAGTATTTATTCAACATCCTATCATCAACACTACTGGATGGGGTGGTATGGACTGGATCGCTCTGGCTCAGGATAGGGACCAGTGGAGGGCTCTTCTGAGCACGGTAATGAATCTTCAGGTTCCATAAAATGCTGCGAATTTCTTGAATAGCTGTACAATCGGCGACTTCTCAAGAAGGGCTCAGCTCTATGAAGTTAGTTTGGTTACTGGCCGCGCCATAGCTCAAGCGGTTAGTCGCTGGCTTCTCACCGCGGCGGACCGGGTTCGATCCCGGGTCTGGTCAAGTAGGATTTGTGGTGGACAATGTGACGCTGGGGCAGGTTGTATCCGAGTACTTCGGTTTCCCCTGCCAATCTTCATCCACCAATTGCTCCACACTCACCCTCACCTATCATCTGGGGCTCGTACAATAGGCCAGAAGTGGCCGCAGTACAAGGGACTTAGTTCCACCCCACTAGCAATAAAAAAATAATAGTTTGGTTACTTATCATCGACACTATAATTTAGATACTGACGCGGTCGTTAAGTAACATAGAGTGACACTAGAAACACTGAACTGCCACATTTGTATCCATTGGTAAGAGGGCTAAGTTGGCAGTACTGACGGTATGCGCCCTAAAACGAGTTATATTAGCAGACTGAGCCCTACGACGTAGCGCTGTTGGAAGTGAGAAATGTTGCATGCTGCAAGGGTTTGATGGGCAGACCGCGTACTGTTAAGAAGGTACCGGTTAATTTTTCTAGTTGTCTGACATTATCTAAAATACTGTAGTTCAGTAAGTCTTCATATTGCCTTTCTAAATTGTTCGTAGATATCATAGTTTCTCTAACATAGACAGAAGCAACAAGAATACCTTAAAATATGTTGCGAACTTTCTCTGATAGGCAGATTGACGGATTTAATATCGAATTGCACTTGTTATTCTCGACTGTCACCATAAAGAACTCATCAGTTGAAGATTAAAAACTGAACTCCATAATAAATAGTTTCATATGCCATTTACTCCTCATCAGACAAAAAGGTCATACCTTAATTCGGTCGCCATGATCACTACGCGAAGTTGAGCTGGGAACTGTGAGAGGAGAAACTTCGTATTGCGCATGCTTACATACCGCTGCTACTGTCAAACTGAATCTGCACAAATGTCCTTTTTCATAAAAAACATGATATGAACATAGTAGTTAACTAAGGATTGGTGATAAGCAATGAATGGTGAGAGGTGGGTGATTATGAACCATAAATTTGGTGGCGCTTGATCAGGATATTCATGGTGGAGCTGTGTGGCCCAGTTATCGTTCCCTGCTGCATTGTTTGTCATGTTGAGAAATGATAGCCCGCCGGTTTGGAACTCGAGTTCTCAAGAATAATTAACTCATTCCACTAGAATTCGTTCTTGCGTTGTAACCCCATGTCCCCACTAACGCTCTGTTATATTTGCACCAGTGGGGTGCTGGTGACTATGGCGTCTGTCTACGAGTGCAGTTTATACGCTTCACCCAATTCTATTAGGATTTATAGTATTTACAGCTGTGTGCATGGGTATACGTCATTAACCTATTTATAAATTGTGAAGGGAACATTCCACGCATAAATAAAGTTCGTAAGTGGACATGTTCAGTTGCTGGAGGTAATGTGAGTTTTTTCGCTGGCAAAGTGGCTGGGGGCCGGTTTTTTTCTGAGCGTTTGTTCTTTCCCGATTCTCAGTCCACCAACTGCTCCACATTCATTATTTGTCCCATACTCGACACTGAGTACTCTGGATACTGACAACGTTGTTAAATAACCAACTTGAAAATAAAACACACTTAAGGTTCCGGCCGCATTTATGCCTGTTATATGTGGACCGGGTGGGCCCTAAACCACAAACAAGTCCCACCAGCTACACGGTGATAAAAGGTAGCCAATACGATGTACAGCGTCCTTGTACAGCTATCACATAGAATGCTTTTACTTCTACGGTAGCCCATCACACAAAATACACACGCGGTCAGTGTCTGGTCACATTTCGGAACAATTCTCCTTTAACAGGTGGTGCTAAAAGTCTGAATTTCGAAAACATTTCTTGTTTGCCTGCAAGATGTGGGGCCAAAAATTATGAATTTCGACAACATATTTCCTGTTCGGTCCAAGGTGTTTTCGTTTTCTCCACACTTCCAGTGCACTGCACACGATTTCCCGGTCGTCTCAGTAGCATGCCCCGCCATCTCTCGGTACGCGAAGCTAACAATCTGCTGCATCCCGCAAATGAAGTTGATTTGACTGCAAGAAAATATCTTTATGTTGTAAACTCTGCCTAATTAGTTAATATAATTTTCAAAAATAAACATATCAGCCTCTTAGGAGGTAGAAAGTTCATAAATACGGATTTTGGTGAATCTTCTCAATCCCCATTCCTGAATATTGGGTTATGATTGAGTATAAGGAGTGTGCCATAAAACTGGCCCTAGCACTGCGACCATCAATGATCTATTGTGCTTCTCCTTTAGATTAACTCTTTATTATTCCCACACTTCGAATGAAATATAAGACTTTGTTTATGGGGCATCATAAAAGTCACTTGGTTCCATGAAGAATTGTCCCAGGTGGGGATATCTTAACTAAGCTATAGCTTCACAGTCACATAAGATGTGTGTAGCTGATTCATCTTCTTGTAGGCACCTCTCACAAGTTTGGTCCTCTGTCAGTCCCAGTTTGGAAAGGTGTCCTTTTAGGTGGTAGTGTCCAGTAATTAATCCTACCACCCATCTGAGTTGATCTCTGTTAAATTTTAACAGGTCCCTCGTTCTTTTGGCAGAGGGTCCTGATATAAATCCTTTTGCCTGTTTGAGTTGAATATTGGTTTATATCTGAAAGTAATTTTGACCCATGCCTCCCCATTTTTCATGTATTCTTTAATCACTGATCTCCAGGAGTACTCTGGAAGCAGACAAACGATTGAGTGCTGGCATTTGTTTGTTTCAGGTGTGGATGTAACAGCTAATCAGGATGAGATCTCTGACCATGAGACCTTCCAGCTTGAATTTGATGTGTCCACCAAGCGGTGGTATATCCGCACTATGCAGGACCGCTACTGGACTCTCGAAACTGGTGGCGGCATCCAAGCTTGTGGTGACAAAAGGTACTTCTGTTCTGTCTGTACTGAGAAGGAGTATTCCGAACTAAGACTCTAGCAGCATAGTTGTAATGCTCACTGGGGCTCATGGAACAAGTTAATTTTCTTCAAGCTAGTGAAGTGTTTATCATATGAAGGGTAGACAAAATATGGGTCTAGTTTAGATGTACAGCTTTTATGTAGAACATCATAGTCTAGTGGTGTTATACTTCCCTGCTTTGGAAGGCCACTTTCATGCTCCCAGTGGTCACTTCTGATGAACGTTTTTTATGGTTTCTGTCACTACAGGCAAGTCCTGGACCTGTGCTTTAACATACATGGGCCATGGATACATACTTCCATAGGTGCCCCACCCAATTCATCATTGATGATCATTCTCCCATTTGACCCACCCCATGGTATTCAGAAAATATTGGTAAATAAACGAAGAAATATTTTTATTTAATATGTTACTTATTACTTTTTATATAAAAACATTATCGCATTAAATTAAAATGCCGAACTATGTCTGCGAGAATTAGTACACTCTTCTTTGGATGATTATCTGTAGTGAATGCCACAGAATTATATAAAATGCATACTCTGTCTGTGACATTGTGTCTTTAATTTTTCTTTCATTTATAATTTATGCAGCTCATATTTGATATATTGGTGAATGCAAACAGTTTTGCTCTTGTTCATATGACTTACTCACAGCCAATCTTCCCTAACCTTGGCAATGGTGGTACGTGATAGTGTAGTTGGTTGAGGCACTTTGCTACAAGCTGTAAGGTAGTGGGTTCGAGTCCTGATGATCTTAGAGAGATAGGATGGGATGGTATGGATTGGATTGATCTGGTTCAGGATAGGGACTAGTGGAGGGCTCTTGTGAACACGGCGATGAACCTTCGGGTTCCATAAAATGCTGGGAAGTTCTTGAGTAGCTGCACAATTGACAGCTTCTCAAGAAGTTCTCAGCTTCATGAGTGATGATGACATACAGTTTGTAGGACTCCTTGGATGGGGGATCAGCCCTTCGCACACAGACTTCCATGCATTGAGTGGATTTGAACCAATGATCCCAGTGTTCACGTTGGCGAAGACTGATCATGCCTTAGATAGAGAGTGCGGCCTCTGTGATTGGCCAAGATGTGATCTCAGCAAGCCACAAACATTTAAGATTAAGTTATTTTTAATATCCTGATGATAAAAATGGCATTTGGAATGTATGTTTGCATGAGAGATAACAATTGATCAAATGTCTTCGTGTCATGTACTATTTATCATGAACTTTATTTTATTCATCGTCTTCAGGACAGAGGCAAAGCCAGCCTAAAAAACAGCAATTTTTACAATTTTGTTTATTAGCAAGAGAGTGTGTGAAGTGCAAATACTCATAAAGTGGGGCGGCAGCAGCAGCGACAGTGATGACAACAGCAGCAAGAACCTACGTCATTGTCCTAAAATTTAAAAATGAAAAGTTGCATATTTATTTGAGTGAGTTGCCATATAAGCATATCAAACACAGAATGGTAATTTAGGCACAACATTTGAAGGTAACTAACCACACTAGCATCTCAGTTATAACCAGCAGTTACAGAGTTTAGCACTGTAAGGCATTGGTTTAAGTGCAGACATCTTGTTTGAATCCCATCTAGAGAGTGACATGATTCTTTTCATGGTTCCTCTCAGTCCTTCCAGGTAAAATGCCTTAAAGTAAGCCCTAGATTCCATGTAAATCTTCCAAATTTAGAAATTTTAATTACTCTGCTTAATGAAATTTGATACTACTTAAAATTAACACAGTGCAGTTAAATAGCCAAATAAAAATATTCAGTTGTGCAGAAGGAATTAAAATCGAATTTATTTAAGTTCCCATGTAACAAACATACCATAAGGATAGGTCTTATACATATGTATAATATCATCATAATTATAACAAAACATTGTAAATAGTGTGTGTGTGTGATGGGTTAAGTATGAAATACTTTTGTATCCAGATCTTCCAATGCCCTCTTTGACCTGGTTTGGCAAGGTGATGGCTCTGTTGGATTCCGTGCAAACAATGGAAAGTTTGTGTCTACCAAACGTTCAGGACATCTGTATGCCAACTGTGACACTGTGGAGAACAATGCAAAGTACTTCTTCTACCTTATCAACAGGTATGTTCATATACTTTTTTGTCAAGATGGCACATAATTGAACTGTGAAAATATTGGTATGAATGAAGCAGGATCTGTTAGTGATTTTCGTGTAGAAAGCTGCAGGTACTCAAATGCCCTCTTTTGTTTCCTCTAGTGAAAATAAACCCATAAAATATTGGAAAGAGCATATTCTTTTAAGAAAGAAACTGAACATACCCATTGTATATGAGGCTGTTTGGGCCCCAGACAATGTGGAGAGGAGAAAATTCTTGACCCTACCGGGACTTTGCTATACCGACTGTATTATCCTGGCTCCTATCATTAGGTAGGTTCAGACATTATGAACCTGCATTCCTTATTTTGAAGAAAATTGAAAGAGGGGGCTTATAAGATCACCTTCCTGTCTGTCAGTCCTTCTGTCTCTGTATCCCCTCTTAATTTTTTAGCTGTTGCCTAGCAAATGAGAAACTGGCTAAGAAGAGTTGCTGGACACCTTGATTTCCAAGCCCTCCATGTTGTATCAAAGGAACATAGGCTATCAGTTCTTGTGAGAACTTTCTGTTTTGCAATTTTATTTTTAGCTTACATTCATCTCTTAAGGAAACAAGGAGTTCCAGGAGGAACATAAGCCTACTTTACTACTAGAGGTTTTCCAGTCCTACAAATCTTATTCTGTTAATGTCCTGTTTCGACAATGAAAATTTAAAATTCAACAATAACATATTAAAACAACGAACTAGTGGTGGTGGTCATGGTGGGGGTGGTCATCATGGTCGTCCTGATGGTGGTCACCATTGTTGTGGTGGGGGTCTAGGTCATCGTCGTCGTGGTGGTCATCTTTGATGTGGTGGAGGTGGTCATCATGGTTGTGGTGGTGGTGTTCATTGTGGTGGTCATCATGGTAGTGGCGGTGTTTATCGTGGTGGTGGTCGTCGTGGTCTACTATGGGAACGAGGGTGCATCATCATGAAGTTATGAGATTCTATTTTCAAGATCTTCTTGTATTCATTTTCTGGGGAGGAATCTAAAATCAGATGCACAGGACCATTGCTGTAGTTGGGCTGGTAAGCACTAGTATGCTATATCCATAAAAAGAATCTTATATGTATACAGTATCAGTAGAAAATCAAAACCTTGATTGACTGGGCATCATGATGATTGTGATGCATATTCCCATTGCTATACCCACTACATCAGTTGCATCAATTCAAGAAGCCATTTTGACCAACTTGGGCTCTCATCACTTAACTGAAATGTACCGATAGATACATAATTTCATTGGAGCTGGCTGTGACAAGGTGTCCATAATATGTAGAAGAAGAAATGGTATTGGACTGCAGAAAATATTTCCTGAAATAATTAATTTGGTACTGGGCAAATAAGAGACCGGAATTAGCAGTGCGTGACACAAAAAATGAAGTTCAGTGTGTAAGCTGTTTTCATGTCACCTTCAACAGACTGTTTTTATATTTAATATGTCTAAAAAAGTCAGTTGCAGCTCAGTGTGCACGGGCTTCATGCCAATGGTCCTGTAAAATAGGGAAATTATTTGCCATGAGATAGGTTCCATCAAGTCCAAAATTGCAAAAGCAGTTTGGAATGGCGGCAGATCCCTTGAAAACTGCCTCACAGAAGCTGCTGCAGATGCAATCAAACTAATAAAGACCTATGTAATATTTTAACTTGTGATTTCAAGAGCAATGTAGGATGCACTTACTGAGCTATATCAATTGGCTTTACTTCTGCAAAATGACTCTTTCAAATGCTGACAGTGCTATTAAATGTACAGCTTGAGTCTTGGAAGCAGTGAGCGCTTCACCTGGACCTTTCTAGCAGAAACTAACTCTGCAGTCAAGGCTTAAGTTTTCAAAGAAATTCAGTTACACAGCAACAGCAAAGTTGTTGAAATTCACAGGGGTAAATTTTCAGGAGTCTAGCAGAAAAACCTAGGCAAAGGCTGTTGCAGAATATCAGTCAGGCATCTCAGCTGGGTTATCTGGAGTTGAAGGCACTGGGAAAATGGAATTGCTTCTAGTCATGAAAATTATATGCACATAAAACATGCCTCCTGAAACTGACATTAACCATGGTGACAGTGGCATTATTAATTTGCGTGAAATATTTCAGTTATTAGAAAAGCAGACGTTTATAAATGCATTCAGAGAGGGTTCATAGAGCTAACGTTAGACCAGATGAATTTAAACTTCTGATACGAATAACACACTCAATTCCTGTATCTACATCAGAATGTGAAATGTCGTTCAGTGCTATGAATGAAGTGGTGTTCTAGAACAGAAATGCTGTATTAGTTCACTCAGTTAGCAGCTGTGTTAGACCCACCTCTTGGCTGTCAGCAGGACAGAGGAGAGCATATGAAATAGCCTACAGAAAATGAGTCAGTCAATTATGCGCAGTATATGGTGATATGGGATCTGCTGAAGCAATGGCAAGTATCAGGAAATATATTTATCCCAACTACGGCACTGTGGGGACACATGGAAGCGTAGTTGGTTGAGGCACTGTGTGGGTTTGTAGTTTGATGAGGTCATGGGATATTTTCAGCTTACCTATCCTTCCAGCTGCACTATGGCCCTGGGGTTGACTCAGCCTCTAACAGAAATGAATACCAGGAATCTTATTGTGGGTAAGGGGTGGCCAGTGCCCACCATCTGTGAGCCGACTGTCTAGAAAATGTGGGAGCCCCAACATCTCACAACCATGTGGGCCTCCATGGCCTGTTACAGGGATACCTTTACCTTTTTTCCCTTTGCTACAGCACTGCGCATGACTTACCTTCTGTAAGGTTACCCCCATAAGGTATGATGCACCCCATCAAATTTAGAAAGGAATTCAGAAAACATTGTTAGATAAACGAAGAAATTTGTATATTTAATTTGTTACTTATTACTTTTTTATATGCTAGTGAGATAAAAACATTATGCTATTAAATTGAAATGCCGAACTATGTCTGTGAGAATTAGTACACTCTTCTTGGGATGATTATCTATAGTGAATGCCACAGAACTATACAAAATGCATACTCTGTCTGTGACAATGTCTTTTTAGTTTTTCTTTCACCCACAACCCCCATGTTCTCAGGCTGTTACAGTCTCCCATAGTTGTGGCAACACAGGTTCCTTCTCGTGATCGTTGCATATCAGAGGTACTACGTGCTACAATATTATAAGTTACTACCATGATCAACAACAACCATAGGGACAACAGTCTGAAGCTGCAATGTATGTACATTCTTCTGCATGGGAATGCTGGTAGTTTAAATTGCATTTACCATCAATGACTGTGAGGCATCATTGAGCTTGATAGTGTCTCTTCTATATGTTGCTGTCTCGTCACCAAAATGCAGGGCAAAATCATGACATAACGATAAGAAACAGATGTTTTGAAAATGTGGCACACTTCATATATTTGGGAACAACAATGACAAATCAAAACCTGATTGAGGAGGAAATTAAGAGGAGATTGAACTTCGGTAATGCTTTGCTACCATTCAGTCCATAAACTTTTGTCTTCTCGTCTGCTGTCCAAAAACATAAAAATTAGAATAGACAGAACTATAATTTTGCCTGTGGTTCTGTATGGGTGTGAAACTTGGTCTCAGACATTAAGGGAGGAACATAGACTGAGGGTGTTGAGGAGAATATTTAGGCCGAAGAGGGATGAAGTGACAGGAGGTTGGAGAAAACTGCATAATGAGGAGCTTCATAACTTGTACTCTTCTCCAAGTATAATTAGAATGATCAAGTCAAGGAGGATGAGGTGGGCAGGGCATGTAGCATGAATGGGGGCAAAGAGGAATGCAAATAGGATATTGGTGATAAAGCCAGTAGGAAAGAGACCACTGGGAAGACCAAGGCATAGGTGTAAAAACATAAAGTAGGTGGATGGACAATGTTAAAATGGATCTTAGAGAGATAGGATGGGATGGTGTGGATTGAATTTATCTGGCTCAGGATGGGGACCAGTGGAGGGCTCTTGTGAACACGATAATGAACCTTCGGGTTCCATAAAATGGTGGGAAATTCTTGAGTAGCTGCAGAATTAGCAGCTCCTCCAGAAGGGCTCAGTTCCATAAGTAAGTAAGTGTATTTTCTGCAGACCAATCCTGGTGCTGAAGTGTGAGCAAGGCTTTGTAGGATACAAGAGTGCCTCCTCTTCCAAGTTGGAATGCAACAAAGCTACATATGAGACCATCCAGGTGGAACGTGGTGAGAAAGGCATTGTCTTTTTTAAGGGTGAGTATAGTAATTGTTCTTTTGTTTGGGAAAACTTTAGTCTCAGATAATCAGACTGATTGTCCTAATGGAAAGAAGAAAATCTGAAGGAACTGGAATAATCTTGTGTAGATTTTTGAGATACTCTTCATGGAAATGGGTTACAGCTGATTAGCTACATTACATCTGTGTCTTCACATCTAACAGCTTCATTATGACACATATTAACTGAATTGAATTTTGGACTAAATTTCACAGCAACTGGCAGAACTTTGTTGAAAGGCATATGTTTAATTTTATATATATTTCATTAAATTCTGAGAAATGTAAGGTCCTGTCTCCTAGGGTATAATGCCATGTAATCCACTAAAGTCAGCTGATATCTCTGAGGAACATGTTACCTCCATCTTCCGGACTGAAGAGTAAGTCAAGAAAGAAACCAGCATAAAGCAGGTAGTAAGCTGTGTGATACCTGCTTTATGCTGGTTTCTTTCTTGGCTTATTCTTCAATCCTGAAGAGTGACGCGACATTTTTCTCCAAAATGTCAGTTGACTTTTGACATAATATACAGCATTATTATATCCCAGAAGATACAACTCTTCATAACCACCACCGCGAGGAACTCACATCCTACTAATTTTGAGTCATTTTAGAACATGAGATGAACCTTTCATGTTCTTCATTTTCGTCATGTGCTGCAGGTCAGAATGGCAAGTATTGGCATGTTGATGGAGAGTCTGTGACAGCTGACTCTGACACCCCTGAAGGCTTCTTCCTGGAATTACGTGATCCCACTAGGATATGCATCAAGAGCATCTCTGGGGAGTATCTGGTAGCAAGTAAAAATGGAACATTCCGTCTTGGAGACATGGACTTTGAAAATGCTACCAAATGGGAATATTAAGGTTCCTTCGCAATGGCTGTCATCATCTTGTGTGTTGCATGCAGTTGTTATCATTGTGTGTTGGAATGGTGGGTGGTTTAGTATACTGATGGTGGCAGAGGGGTACAGAGCAACATAAATTTGGGCCATACTGTTTTATTAACGAAATTTTGTGGTAATAACACACAGTGGAACTGCTTCATCCATTTCTATTATTTATTTTGAATCTTGCAGCAAGATTGTAAAGAATTTGTAGTAAGTTATTGATATATTGTCATGAAATAGCTTGAAATTTAACACACATATATATATATGAATAAGCTTGAAACTGTAAAGAATAATGACTGATGAGAACCTAAACCCAACGTCTGTCCAATGTAAGATAGGATTTCCAAAGATGCTTTTAACTTGAAACTCAGTAAGTAGCATTAAAGATTTTGATGTACATGGGGCTGTTAAGTAGCACATGCACAGAAAGTAAAACCAGACATCACTGGGGGTTTGTATTTATTTCAACATAATCACTGCAATCTATAGTAAGGCAAGTTTACTTTGAATGGGTGACAGATCAAACAATAATTTTAATGGGTTACAATATAAAGAGTTCCTCCAACCATCATAAAGATGGCACTCTCACATCATGAACTTGAAACGATGCTCAGGAAACACTGCATCATTATTTCTTAGGGTGCAATCAGCATTTTCTATTATCTCATTTGATGTCGGTTCCATTTGTACTACTCTAATAATTAAGAATGAGTGAAATGACTTGATTTATCACAAAGGAAAAGTATATGATATTGGATATTCATGTAAAGTAAATTAATTTGCAGAATTTATACAGAATTGGGATTTGAATTGTTTACTTGCACTAACTGTAAGGGAACTGACAAACCATCCAAGCAGATCTAAAACATAGTTCACTGCCACAACAAATTCAGGGCCATAACACAAAATCGGCAGGAAGATCAATTTGGTCTTATGCGAAAAGACTAGAACACAGAAGATTTAAGAAAAAAGTTCACCATTCTGTGAGAAATGTGATGTTGATTGTGTGGGTACATGTCTAGAGTAATGTGAACACTGTTGAAAGTGAAAGATAGAGTTACTGTAATTGTTGTGTTAGGGACAATCAGATTTCATGTTCTGAGGAATTGTGGGGGTACCAAAATCCAGCCTCGTGCAGTATTGAAAGCAGTGCTAACTTAGTAGTAAAGTCTCAATTGGGTTCTTCATTTGCCATCTCTGTGGTGAAAGGTATTTTCTTAGACCTTCTGTGTTAACTGCCTCTATTTTATATAGAAGTAAAAACAGAAGTAAACAGTGGTGTAGAAATTCTAGATAGCAGTTTTTATATGGAAGTAATTTGTGTGGCTGTCATTTTTTATACATTTTCCATATGTTTTATACAGCATGAGAGGAGTCCACATTTTTCTTGATGAAAGTTTTGAACCATTTCTAACCTCTTTTTAAGACGATTTTTCATTTTTGATTGATGTAAATAGGGTAGATAGAACAGTGTGAAATATTACATGTTAGCACAATTTTTGGGCTGCCAGATACTCGGTCACAAGGATACCAGAATATGCATTTATGATACTCATAGGAGGGTCTGTTGATCCCCACAGTGAGATTCTCATTGCAGGTCTTGTGCATTTCTATATCTTGAATGTTTTTAAGAAAATGTCATTCCACTCTAGGGTCTGCTGTTGCTATTATTATTGGTAACTTTGGATTGTAAATGCTGAGAGTGTGGAAGTTGTTTGTAGATGTAGCTGCAGTAGAGATGTGTTATTTTTTCTAGTGAGAAGTACTTGATGAATTTCATACATTGTGTATGTAGCCATTTTGTTATATCATGTATGTTACATCTTTTTCTTTTAGTTTGTAGCTCAGTCAACAACATCTCCATCATTAGACTGTTGATACATAATATGTGGCTGATGGCCTATCAAGTTGTGACCTTAACCTAAGAGGTGTAGTGTTGTAGTGTCTATTCCAGTTATCTATGTCTCTTATTACTTAAATGTATCTTTTTGCAAATATAATTGTTTATGTAGTCACACAACTTACTCTTTAGTAACTGTGGTTTTATCATTGTAAAGAACACCTTATTACCTTATTTATCATATTTGTATTATATTTGTAATAAATATTGGAAATTCAGTAATCATTAATTATATCTGCTTATTTTAATTATGGAATCCTTCGCATATCCTTATACCAGTGTTTGGTACAAATGTCAAAACGTCTAATCAGATGCTGTTATCAATTTTACAGTGGCTCTCTGAAAAACTAATTAGTGTATATTTATTAAAATAAATATTCAATGGCATTTCTACACAAGCTAGGAAATATGTATATGTATATGCATAGCAACGTCGGTCACAGTAGCCAAGTGGTCTAAGGCATGTACTGGCTTTGCTCACTTGGAAACCAGGATCGTGGGTTCGAATCCCACTCAGGGCATGGATGTTTAGTTTGTGTGTGTGTACAGGTAGAGGCCTTGTGATGAGCTGATCACCCGCCCAAGGAGTCCTACCAATTGTGTAAGATCTAGAAAACTGAAGTGAATGGAGAAGTTCATGGAGGTAGGCCTAGGCCCACTGGGGCTGTAGTGCTAAGGATAAAAAAAATATGCATAGCAACAATTCTGAAGCACTGCCTTTGTTACTGCCTCAATTTATGAATGCCAGCTATCTTACAGTGTAAAACTGATGACTTTAAGCAAACACAAATGCCGAAGTCATGCCAACTATAAATGAGCAAGACTTTACAATTATTGAGTTTTTATACATTATCCATCCGGTTTTTTATTTACAACACAACATTTCGGAGACTGGATTCTGTCTCTCTTTGGAAAGAAGCCTACTCAGTTGGGCTAAGAATAAGAAACTCTGGCAGTATGATCAAATATATGTATTTTAGTTAATTATATGCATGTGAATCTGTAAATTATGATGAGATAAAGATCAGTTTAATTGGTATCGGGAATAGTCGCAGCTGAGAAGCTGTGAATCAAGGACACAAAGCTGCCATGGAAAAGAGTTGAGAGTGCAGTGCAGTGTAGTTAAGAGTTAGTTGCAAGAATGCAGCTATGAAGAGAAGACTTTATGTGTAATATTTGGAGTGTATAATTCAGTGAGACCGTTATAGTTCCTGCATTTTAATTGCATTACCAGGAGACAACTAGTAAGTAGTAAGTGTCTAAAAATGAATTACAAAGTGCAGAAATAGTGATAGTGCTATAATTACATGTATCAGGAGTAAATAAACCTGTTCATCCAATCCAGAACCCGTGTTATCAGTCACTAATACACGTGACAACTGGTGTTAGAAGTGATATGGATTGGATCAGATGATTGAATTACTGGATTTGAGATTAAATCATGTAGTTATATTGCCACATTATGGAGATGCAACAGATGATGGGACTCCTGCTGGCTAGAATGGATGGCAATACAAATCAAGATTTGCTGCTAAGGATGGGAGCCAAAATAAATGCCCATAATGAACCCTTCATGGGTCTACACTCTACAACATAAAACCAACAATATGAAATCAAGTCCCGATGAGGTCATTGGATTTTTTCAATTGACCTAATCCTTCTGGCCGCACTAGGCCCTGGGGTTTACTCAGCCTCTAACAGAAATGAGTACCAGGAATTAATTAAATAATTTTCCTGGGGAGTGAAGCGCGGCCGGCGCGCAAGGCTGACAGCCTTACCGCCATCTTTGAGCCGATTGTCAAGATAGTGTGGGACCCTTAACGTCTCACAACCCTATGGGCCTTCACGGCCTGTTACAGGGATAGCTTTACTTTTTACTTTAAATGCTGACTAGTGTAATGGGTGAGCAGTGGAGCTAATAGTAAATGTGCATACCTGATGATGGCCAAAATGGGGCAGAACTAGAATGTATCTAGGAAGCAGTTATGCTGACAGAAGCAAGTACAATGGGAAATACAACAAAACATAATGCTAAGATATACGCTTAAAACACTTTACAACCATTATTAATTTCTCAATATTTGAACTGCACCATAGTTGATGATAACTGTGGGCTGCTTCAAAATTTGTTCTCAGCCTACTGACAGTTCACTTCTGGTGCCAGAGTTTTCATTATTCATCTTTTACTGAAAGGTAGTATGCTGGAAATCTTTATGAAACAGTCCAGCTACTGGGAGTAATGACCCTGGATTATGCAAGTTCCAGGTCCCACTGGCCTCGTGGGTAGCACAGAGTAAGGGCCCCTTCTCAGCGTGACATGGCAGGTAGATAGGACTTGTTAGTCATAGTAGGCAACCTGCATAAGGGAAGGAAACCTTGAATAAAAATCCTTGTCCTTCAAGACCGAGGGCTTTGCAACAGGCTCCTAACTTGCTCATCATCTGTTTTTGCTCATTTGATAAACAACATCCTTGTTCTGTTGTGCAGCAAGCTTGGTGTCACATGTATCCATCACCTTTTTTTTATCTAAATCATTGTACTGTTTTATTTAAAAAAACCATGTTTCAGAGACTGGATTCTGTCTCCATCTTTAATGTTTTGTCTTAGATCTTGCAGATGGTTTGTGCTGTGCTTGGCTTGTATACCCTATCCTGGTGCTGGTACAGGTGTCCAGAGATTGGGCCTAACTGAGTAGGTTTTACTTGAACATGGATACAGAATCCAGGATGATGGATAATGTCCAGAAATATATTATTTGTACTAACATACTACCTTACAAACTTTTAGATCTTAATGATGTCACATGCATTCATGTGCTTTTGTAAGTTTACACTATCGTGGTCTTTCTAATTAAATGGAAAACAATGACTTTGCAAGAGGAACTACATATTATACAGAAAATGGAAGCAAATGCAAATAACATATACAATTATTAGAGAGTCCATTTGACTTGTTTTATTTTTCTTTAGCACTAAAGTAAGAACAGCTCTGGTGTTGCCACTGTATTCTAAAGTTCCCCAGATAATATATGTTTGTGCCTTTTTATCATCAAAAGAATATGGAACAACTGGTTGGGATCAAAATATAAAAGTGAATCCAAATAAATGAACCTAATTTTACATTTCCCTTGTAAGAAATTTTCTTGGTTAAGAAGTTCTTTTCTCCAGGTCCCAGGAACATCATATCTGAAAAGTGTATTCAAAATTCAGTGCTTAATTTAACATCGCTTTCTACCACAGGGTGAGCCAAGTCACTGTGCAACTGTACTACAGATGATAAAACCACTTCATTCTTAGTATTTGCATACTTTCCTTAATTTTGGGCTGTTGGGCAAAGGCTCAGTAAACACGTTCCAGTGGCAACAAATATTTACGTGATACACAGAGCAGCTATAAAATAACCGGACTGATTTCTTTGCCAACTCCATGTGGTCTTGGCAACAGCGAGCAGGATGCATATTAGCCTGTTCTCTCCTAACAACCACACGACTTCCAAGGCCATATGGCCAACAGCGTGGTAGCAGCCTTTGTTTCAAGCAGACTGTGTATCTGAGCTCCATTGGAATTATGTTAAGCATTAAAGTAGAGCAACATGTCAATGTGAAATTTCTCACAAAACTTGGAAAATCTGCTACAGAAATATACAGTTTGTTGATGGAAGTTTATGGTGATGAATGTCTATCTTGTACTCAAGTTTTCAAGTGGTTCAACAAATTTAAAGAGGGAAGGGGAGAGATCAAAGAAGACCTGCGTCCCGATAGGCCTTGCATGTCAAAAACAGATGCTAACATTGAAAAAGTCTGTGAAATTTGATGAAAAAATTGTTGCCTGAGCATTAGCTAACACTGATAAAGAAAGTGTTCAACAGATTTTCCATGACTATTTTAACATGAAAAAGTGTGCTTGAAGATGGTGCCAAGAATCCTCACTCCTGAGCAAAAGGAAACTTGAATTAACATTTGTGCTGACATCCTTCGAAACACTGACAATTATCCAAACTTTTTAGGAAATGCAATAACTTGTGATGAATCATGGTTTTTTCAGTATGACCTGGAAACCAAGCGCCAATCCATGCATTGGAAAAGTATCAGGTCGCCAAGAAAAATAAAAGCATGGAAGAGCAAGTCAAACTTCAAAGTAATGATGATCGTTTTTTACAATATCCGAGGGATTGTTCACACTGATTGGGTGCCTGAAGGTCAGACCGTTAACAGGTTTACTATAGGGAGGTGTTGACAGTCCTTCATGAATGGGTGAGAAGGACCTGAAATGTGGAAGAAGGGCTCATGGATTCTTCACTGTGATATGCCGGCACACAACGCACTGTCTATCAAGACATTTCTGGTGAAGCACAAGATCCCAATGTTGGAACATCCACCCTACTCATCTGACCTAGCCCTGTGTGACTCTTTTTTATTTTTAAAGCTCAAGTCTACATTAAAAGAATCTGTTTGAGTCCATAGATGCAGTGAAGGCAAAGGTGACGGAGGTAATGAAGAGCTATCAGAAAAGGACCTGCAGCAATCCTTTTAATAGTGGAAAATTCGCATGGAACTGTGTAGGGGTCGAGGAGGGGACCACTTTGAAGGTGATAACATTTCCATTGTGTCATTGGTTGAATAACAGATTTTAGAGCTTCAGTCCTGTTATTTTATAGCCGCTCCATGTAACAGAAATGCTGGATGCAACATTTACTATGCGGTCTGTGTTGTGTCAAAGGAAAGTAAGTGATTAGTTCTTCCAAGAACTTCTTGTGTATATTATGAGATCATCTTGCAGTCTGTTTGCATCGCCCAATAATTTTTCCATTTTCTGTGGGGTCCGTGTCGTATCAAGGAGGCTCATGAGAATGTCTGTGCACTCTCGCAAATTTGCTCATTTTCAATGCAATCTGTGTCATATCAAAGGAAAGTAGGCAATTAGTTCTTCTCAGAACTTCTTCCATATGTTCATAAATTTGCATAGCAGATGAGTCAGCAGCAGCACATGTAGAGCGCTGAAGAAGCATTTGCATCTGCATCCCTGCAAGATAACACGAGTGCATGAACTGAAAGAAAGGGACATCATGAGTGCTGAATACTTCTGATTGTTTAGAGATGTAATTACTATTATGGAGAGGATATTCTGTCATCAAATTTGCTACAAATGAGGTATGGTTTCATGTTTCCTGTTACACCAACAGCCAACATAACTGCATTTGGTAAACGACTAATCCACATGAAATCAAGGATCCACCATTACATGATCAGAAGGTTTGTGTGTGGTACACCACAAAATTGGGCAATAAGCCACATATTCTTTGATGGCACTATCAACTCAGAATATTATTGTCAAGTGACTCCTTATGCCTTCATTGGACATTTAAATGAGGCCAGAACTGCCAGCAACTACTTTCAACAGGATGGTGCTACTGCACATGCAGCTCAAATTTCCACAACACTACTGCAAAATGTGTTTGAGGACAGGATAATTTCAAAGGACATGTGGCCACCATGGTCACCCAATCTTTACCCCCTAATTACTATGTGGGGGGGGGGGCAATGAAGGGCACAATTTACAAAGACAATCCTCACACTCTCCTTGAACTGAAGGATGCTATCGTAAATTTTATCAGAAACATCCCTCCAACTGAACTGTCACATGTCTGTGCAAACCTGATAAGAAGATAAGATGTGTAGATGAGTGTCAACAAGCACATGGGGTCATTTATTGTAACTTAAATATGGTAAATGTATTTGTATTAATGTACAGGGCCCCTCTGAATATACTCATCATCTACAGCAGGTGCAGTGACTTCTGTCTCATCCTGTACATCCAATGGGATCAAAAGATTTGTTTCCTACCATTTTAACAAAATACAGTGGCTTAGCACAAAAATTATATGTTTTATGGCAAAATTATATTTATTGTTCACAAATCTCTTTCCTTAGATTCAAGTTATCCTACTGTTGGCCGCGCCATAGTTCAAGTGGTCAGTCGCTGGCTTCCCACTGCGGCAGCCTAGGTTTGTGGTGGACAAAGTGGGGCAGGTTTTCTCTGAGTACTTCGGTTTCCCCTGCCAATTTTCATTCAACCAAATTCTCCATCATCATAATCACCCGGAGCAGGTACAATAGGCAAATCTGTGGCCATCATGCTGAGTGGACCCAACTGGACTCCACCCCCCCACATGTGAATTAAAAAGATATCCTACTGTAGGGACACCATACTCAACATGAATTAAAAGCATCTGCAAGATTAATCTGATTAAATTTTTAGAGATTTTCTTTTTAAGCTCAATATTAAGAAACCACTGACTAATGAAAATGGTGGTTGACACCAGATGAACTGTCAAACACATATGAGAAAAGAGACAGAACCAGAGATAACTCTTACTGTACAGAGTGAAACAGAGTAAGCAAACACAGGAAAACAGCATGATTTTGAATTTACTGACACATACAAAATGTCACAATATACACATTTACATCAGATGAACCTCCTCTTCTGCATTTGTGGAACACATTCATTTAAAGATCATTTCGCCTTGTTATTCCATTTCATGAAAGTTAATGAAGAGGTGGTTTAATGACAATTTGTCCAGAGTTGGAGAGCCTGCCAATACCTGCCTTGCATTCTGGCAGCCTGTAAGACTGATGCTTCTTGTGATGTTCAACAGTAAAGACCCAATGCTCTCAAGGTTTTCAGTGGGTATACCCACATCTGATCAAGGTAACAGGCAACTAAAGGTTGTAGTCCCAAAAGACTATGCATTACAAGATACAAGTGACGCTACATGCAATATATTGTGCATATCATTGTTCTTTCCGTGAGAAACGTAAACTGACACTGTAGGTTACATGAGTGTTCATTCACATTGTATGCATCTGAATGCTTCCTTCCTTTATAGATACCAAACACAGTCAAACAGTCACCATGGCTATTTCAGTCCCCAGAGGTTCCAAGATCAAATCTTGGTGCAGACTCTGGCTATACCAAGCACATTACAGTCATGCTCAGGCCCCAGCCAGTGCTGATACAGTACCCTGTAATATGCCTTGACTGTTTTCTTACACAACATTTTCAACTATCTGAGTTGCAGTACTATAAAACTTATGAAATTATTAAACAAGCCAAGAACATATCAACTGTTTATACAATTACGCATCTCCTAAATATTTCTTGTATGAATATGATAATGCTTTTTGAGGCCATTTTTATGTGTGAACTGCTTGTTACACAAGTCACAACTGTAAGGCTTCTCAATTGAGTGTGTAAGTCTGTGTGTCATGAGATTTCCACTCTGTGAGAAACCTTTACTGCATATATCACAAGTGTAAGGCTTAATTCCTGTATGAATACGATAATGATCAGTCAGATGTGACCGCTGAGAGAATTTCTTGCCGCACACATCACAGTTGTAAAGTTTTTCTCCTGTATGAATAAGCTGGTGCCTAGCAAGATGTGAACTACGTGCAAACCCTTTATTGCATACACTACAAGGATAAGGTTTCTCACCTTTGTGTAAAAGTCTGTGTATAATGCAATCATTTCCTGAGATCACTTTATTACAAATATCACAATAGTATGGTCTTTCCCCTAAATGGTTAAAACAATGTCTTTTGAGCGTATATTTACATGTGAATTTCTTGTCACACTCATCACATTTGAATGGTTTTTCTTCCATATGTATACGGGAATGTTTTCTAAGCGTGTCACTACGCATGAATTTTTTTTGACATACATCACAATTGTAAGTTTTATCTCCTGTGTGTAAAAGCCGATGTTTCACAAGGTTTCCGTTATGCGAAAACTCTTTGTTGCATGTTTCACATTTATAAGGTTTCTCACCCGTATGAATGCGATGATGATCGTTCAAATGCGCCCTCTGAGAGAATCTCTTGTGACAAATGTCACAGGTGTAAGGTTTTTCCCCTGTGTGAACTAGTCGATGCCTTGAGACGCTCACCCTTTCTGAAAACCTCTTATGACAAATTTCACATTTGAAAGGTTTTTCCCCTGTATGTGTACGAATATGTGCCTGAAGAGAATCACTTTTAAAAAACACTTTAGTGCATATCTGACACTTGTGACGCTTGACCTTTATTGGAATATAAGAATTACTTCTTCGCCTTCTAAGCCTGATTTCTCCAGGAATTTTGATTGCAGTCTGTCTGCTAGCATTTTTTCCATAATTATGCTGGTGACCAGTTTCAGGTGAAACATCCTGCAGTTTGTTGTATATCCACTCCACACTGTGACAGAAAATATACAAGATATAGCATTTCTGGAAAGTTTAAGCTTGCAGTTATCATTTCCAAACATACACACAACATATATTAACTTAGTATTACATTATCTTTCTTCTTTGAATGGGTAATTGTCATTCAGCCAAAGGAGAAGCCTATTTTATGGAACCTTCATGTCCATCATCATGGCAAAAGTTCAGTACTGGACTGTACCTCAGCCAGCTCAATACTTCTTTAAGATTAATTTTAATATTATCCTCCCAACAATCCCAAGTGGTCTCTGGAATATAACCATTGCTTGTTTCTACAGTGTGCATTATATATTCACCCATTCTCCATTTTATTACTCTGATAAGAGTAGGTGAAGAATGCAAATTGCAAAACTCCTTGATATACTGCTAAAAATAATTATTTTTGTAATTATGTAAAGTTAAATATATTATCTAATTCTAAGGGAGTTATCTGAGATGAAAGTACTGAAAATAAATTATCCAAATTATCTACAATGGAAATTTAAAAACTACATGATGATTGCCTTGGTTAATACTCATCTAATTCAGTTAGTATATGGAAATTAAGGTCATGAGAGGCTGCATATACGAGGGGGTACCCAAAAGAAACCAAACTTATTTTTTTTAACTTATTTATTCAAATTTTAAGCACAAACCTTCAATCCCCTTCATAGTACTCTCCACTTACACTAATACACTTGTCTAGTCTTCTATTCCATTTTTCAAAACATTGTCTAAATTCATCTTTTGAGATGCTTGACAGCGCCTCGGTCGTTTTTTCCCTTCACCTCAGCAGCATCAGCAAAATGCTGAAAAAAGTTTTGATCATTTCGGGACTCTTCTTTCAAAGCACAGCATGCTTCCACGCGACCTTGTTTTTGTTCAGCAGTCAGCAGTCGTGGCACGAATTTCGCAGCCACTCTTTTCATTCCCAAATCTTCTGTCAAAATTTGCTGAACTGAGCTCCAAGTCACTCCCGACAGCTCCACATTTTCTTCAATGGTCATTCGTTGATCTTCCTTGATGGTTTCATGAATTTTTTCAACATTTTCATGTGTTTGGGCCGTGGAAGGACGACCAGAACGAGGTTTGTCATCAATTGACATTTCACCATTTTTGAAACGGGAAAACCACTCAAACACTTGAGTTTTCCCCATAGCATCGTCCTTGTACGCCGTTTTTAACATTTCAAGAGTTTCTGTTCCACGTTTCCCGAGCAAAAAGCAGAATTTCACTGCCGCACGCTGTTCACGAAAATCAGCCATTGCAAAAACGACGATCACACAAAACAGTTGTCACTATGAACTCTGCTGAAACTAGTCCTTACCTTCTGAAGCAATGGTAGTCGGCTTATTGACTCAGGAATGTTAGCTCTATGCGCTCATAGCGGCAAAACGCGGTACTACAAAAGCTCTGCCCACAAAAAATTAGTTCGGTTTCTTTTGGGTACCCCATTGTATAGCTCATTTGAAGGGAACCAAACATATACAGGACAGTTATGACAAAACAGAACACACAGGCAGCGTGTAGTCCTTTATGCTTCTAAAATTGCAGAAAAATCTTCTTCGTACTCAAGCTACACACTTTTGAAAACAATTACAAAGGAATGGAATAATAATGTTTGTAGAATCGGTACGGAATGGCGAGATAATCATCATTCTATGATACTTATGCATAAGAGACATGTATATACGACAACACAGGGCTGAAGAAAATCAGAGGAAGTCCACGATGAAATTAATATTAAAAAAATGGCAACCCACAATACACACACACAAAATGAGCAAGCTCACCCATTTGGTCTCATTTCACTTTTTTGTACTTTCACTTCAATGTTCATCTCTTCCTTGACTTCGGCATCATCATCTCCTGACTCTTCCTGAAAAACAATAAATATTGCGATATATTTGCTCCGTTCAGAATTGTGAAGCTACAAGAGACAGCTGTTGCTGTTCTGCAAACAACGGCCATTGCTAGGCAATGGCTAGTACTGATCACCTGGTCACCAAAACAGACACGACCTCAACAATGCAGTAAATGCCGGAAGAAGGGTTTTCTATGCAGTCCATGCTGAGATGTTATATGTAGGACCAGTTAGCTGTTGAAATCAGTTAGAGAACTGCTGTGGTTCCATCATTGTGAAATGTTGCTGCCAGAAGCTCATAACTGAGGCCAGGGACAGTTTGGGAACCCAGAGGAAAGGGAATGTCCGCTGTCTGAAGCCACTACTAAGCAATGGTAATGAAGACGTGACTGTAGACACTAGTGTTTGTGTAACAGTGAACTGTAAAGTGCAGTTTGTAGTCACTGTATCATGTGACAATAAGATAAGCATTAGACTAGAGGCTCTGCAAAGCATACACAATATAGAAAACGTGATCATGCCTACATGAAGCAATGGTGGTTTTCTGGTGGACAATGTTTTTCAGGATATGAATCCATAAATCCCAAACCTAAATACATCCCTGGTCCTATATGATGAATTCCCTGCTGCCTTCGTAAGTCTGTAAATTAAACAACTGCAGAGACTATTTTGCACAGAAATGTATGACGATGCACTGCATAGTGCTGTTGGCACAAGTTTTGAGGAAATCAGCCCATGATACTTGTAACAGGTCTGAGAAAAACACAAGAAGGCTGCAATGACAGCTAATGCTCTGGTATAGATTTGAAGACCAAATAAAATAAACAGGCATTATATATTTAGCTGTTTAGCCCTGTATGTCTAAAGTTGGTTTTCTTGATATCAAAAACAAGTTACATCTGGACTGAATGAATTGGAAGAACTCTCAGTTTTGTTCCAATCTCTTATCTAACAACTGTGTCAGTGTTTATCTTTATTCACCATTACATAAATAACACGAACTACTAAATGACTACATGCACAAACTGAACCCTGGTTCAAATACTGCACATTATTCTGAAGGGTTCTGATGGTGGTGCATAACATTCAGAATTATTTCTTTCTTTTCTTTTTTTTTACTCTTTCCATCATCTGATATTCCAGAAACCAGAAAACACAACATTTCGGAAACTGGATCTGTTTCTGTCCTCAGGTGAGGGGGTGAAACAGTTATTCAGTTGGGTCCCTTAGGAAGAGCTAACCTCAATCACTAGACAACCCCTGTCATATTCACATGACTATTTAATCACCTGAGACCAGGCCAATTCAGTGGGAAATAACAAGAAAATATGCAATAACAACTGTGATAGTGGATGCACATGCATGGAACTAGGATAGAAAAGGAGGCAGGAATTTGTGCTACAAATGTAGTCAAGAAAACCAAGCACATGAGCACCAATGCAAAGAAATGGAAAAAATTCGTGAAGACACCCAGGTTTTACTCCACAGATAGCCCTAGCAGTAGGTATACTTCTTTGACAGAGGCATACAAAAACTGATTCCCCAATATGACAAGTGTTTCAGTATCAGTGGTGACTATGTTTGAGAAGTAGTTTAAGAATGTACTTATTTTTTGTAGGTAATTTTTTTTTCTCATTGCTTGTTTTGTTAACAGCTTAAGGAGGGGTTGCTTTCTTAAGAATGTACTTATTTTTTGTAGGTAATTTTTTTTTCTCATTGCTTGTTTTGTTAACAGCTTAAGGAGGGGTTGCTTTCTTAAGAATGTACTTATTTTTTGTAGGTAATTTTTTTTTCTCATTGCTTGTTTTGTTAACAGCTTAAGGAGGGGTTGCTTTCTTAATAGACCATCATGCACTAGCCTGTTCAGAATACAATCCCCAGCCGCAGGAATATATTTTGAACAGGTTATGATCTAAAGAAGGGTGAGGAAAATTACACATTATATTTCAATTTGCACCAACACTAAACTACACTATAAAACAAATTGTATTACGCTACTCCCTTACTGTAACCTCTTCAGCATTATCTGAAATGAAATGAATTCCTGCAGAAGATGAATAATTAATGACACTATGACCTGTCTGGCATAAACACAAATGTCCTATATAATTTAGCTTTTGTGGCAAAGTATAGGCGTCCGTGTACATTCTGCTCACCAACACAGCATGCACGTGCCTCCTATTTCCCTTAAATTTCCATCATACTTTCCCTGGGGCAATGTTCTTCAGCCTCAAGGCACTGCAGTTTGAGGCTTCATATCAGGAGGTTGATACTAAAATATAAGTTGGTTTGGGGATCCAAAAACTTCCTGGTCTGCAAGCAGCCTGGCTCACTAACCACCTGCCATGGCAAGTTAATTTTGGTTCTCATGGATTACGATTTTTCTTTCATTTTAGGCCTCTATGCGTTTCATTCTTCAGTTACATTTATTTCTCATTCCTGTTGCTGATTCAGTTCATGTCTGATTTGTTGTTAATATTTTCACCCAGTTCTTACATGGGGAATGCTGGGATATTTTGATTGGTTATATACAGGGTGTCCCAGGAGGAATGGACCAAACTTCGGGAGGGTGTTCCTTATGTTAAAGTATGCCGATATAACCCAAAACACCTATGTCCAAAGTTGAACAGTTACGGAGATAATGGCCAGAGAAGTGTCAAACTTTGACCGGCGTTGCACAGTTGTTGAATACAAAATACATATTAAAACTGGCAGGAATATGTGGATTCTGTAATGTTAATAATGTACGTAACATCAAACTAACTTGTGAGTGATATGATGCCATAAAATTGATGTACAAAATACTCGCTCGCCATCTCATAACTGTCCTTAGGGTTTCCAAGCACTATACACGACACACGAATGGCAAGCGCTGACGTAACGTACTGACTGTGCGTTCTGATAAAGCCAACTACATAAGCACAGCTAGGGTGTATCACCACACTCAAGGACAAACACAGATAAGGCCTCTCAGCTGAGAGGTACAGTGCGTGGACCTGTCAGAAGACCACACTTTTCTTGGGCCATTATCTCTGAAACCGTTCAACTTTGGACATAGGTGTTTTGGGTTATATCGGCATACTTTAACATAAGGAACACCCTCCCGAAGTTTGGTCCATTCCTCCTGGGACACCCTGTATATATACTGTTAGATTTCAATGCCAAAGTAGGTGGGGTATTCTCCACTGGTATTCTTCAGACACACTCCCCGCTCATCTGTAATACCCATTCTAAGCACAATAAACATTTGTTGTTATATCTTTATGTGGTTGTCTCTGCAAGCATCGATATCCCAAAATAGCTTATCAGCAGTCTGGGATACAGCATGTGTAAAATTCTAGTGAAACAGCACATACAAGGTGGCTTCAAATATAAGGGTACTGCACTACAATAAAGCAGTGTTAGACCAGCTGAACCACACAAGCAATACTGCAACACATGGCCAGGTAGGTTAAAGATGTCTTATACAGAAAATAACAAAATCATTATTTCAGTATGGTTTTAAGAAAAATCTTGGCAAATAATTGGCACTTTTGAGAACTACAAGTACAAAAACTCAGGGATACTCCCCCATCATTGTTGACTTGTTTGCATCAGGTCAAATGAAGTCACTTAATTATTAAACACTTGAACTACATCACTTTCCTATGACTGAATTACACTCATTCAGCACAGACCAAAAACTTATTAATGATACCACAGTTCTTCAAAACCTATTTCCTGAAACACACAATTTTTCTGAATCCATGAATCTGAGTTTCATTTAAAGAGCAGTCAAATGGGTCACCTAATAAAAACTAAATATGGTCAACTAATTAAAATTAAGTGTAACATATACATTCATGCACATATGCCCCATGCACACATGCTCATTCACACACATGTGTGCACAAAAACATACACACACACACATGTAATCGAACTCCATTTAGTTTGATAGGTTAGGATGTAGGCAAAATATACAACATTACTGCAAAATTTCCTTATAAATGCTTTTACAGAAAAGTCAAAGCACTGAAATGTAACTCACCTTCACTTCACATTTCATTACAGGGATAAATACCGGCATAGGATATTCCTTCTCATTATCTTCACTGAATGAAAGCACTGAGCAAGTTTCATAATCTGAGCAAGGTTCCACTTTGATTGAATCTGCAACACACTGTAAAATAAAACCTCCAGTATCATCCCTTTTAAAAGTAAACTGGCCACATCAAACAGTATAGTGTTTAAATAATTTAGTAATTGACATGTTAATAAGCTGCAGTTTCTTCTAAGGTTATACATTCCTGGTGAAATGAACCAGGCAGTGCATCCAAGCTGACAGCAAACATTCTGAACAAATACAAGCCATGTAAACTGTACAATGTTAATCATTTTATCTTTTTCCCAATAAAAATATTCTTTCCAATAACAAATTCCTTCAAGACAAGCTATATTTAAGTGCAAATCCATTCAGAATGGAACCCACATTCATACAACATTTTTCACTCTGAATGACCTCATGAATCACCACCTTAAGTTATGACAAAGTCAGAGGACAACACGCAGTGTCCCTTCCATTTTATAAAAACGGGATTTTTGGGACGTTTTAATAATTATTAACTACACAAGGAGGATCATGTTTATCTCACATAATGAAACCTTGCATGTGGTCTCCATCATAACTAGTCATACTGGCATGACTGAAATCCAGCCACATTACAGCCCTGCTATAGTCTCTGAAGATAACCAAATTCTCTTAGTTTTCTTAATTCTGTATGATTGATTACTGGTGTATTTAATGCCAAATTTCAACTACAATGTGCAGCATCTAGATTTTTGGATGACTCTTGAATGATGAGCTGGAAAATACAATAATAAATGTCTGTGGTCTGTTTTATGATACTATTCGAGAATCTGACTGCAGGGACAGATGGACAGCAGAAAATCATCTGTCAACATAGTCGAAAGCTCAGCCCTGATTTAAATCTATATCTCATGAATGTCAGTAATTCTTATACTTCAAGAAAGCCCAAGATCCAGTTAGGACAGAAGTATTGGACAATATTCTCATAGTGTTTGGTGTGCCCATTAAAATCGATAGGCTGATTAAAATGTGTTTAAATGAAACATATAGTAGTGTCCATACAGGTAAACATTTGTCTGACAATTTTCCTATCCAAAATGGTCTAAAACAAGGAGATGCTTTATTGCCACTGATTTTCAAGTTTGCTTCAGGATAGGACCTATTGTCTGGAAAATAACTTACACAGTGTGTCCAGGTTCTGTTAGGACTGTGTTCATTAAAAATATAAGACGTGAATTATTTTCAAAATTTCACTCTTTTTATTCAAAATAGTCACCTTCTGAATCAATATATAGCTGGAATCGATTGAAAAGTTTTTGAAAACAGTCACTGCACTCCTTTTGTGGAATCGCATTTAAAACTGCGGTACATTCCCTTTGGACGTCGTGGATGGTGTCGTGATGGTCTCCTTTCATCGCCAACTTAACTTTTTGAAACAACCAGAAATATACTGGAGCCAAATGTGGCGAATACAGAGGATGATCAAGGACTGTGATCAATTTTCTGGCCAAAAAATCGTGCATGATCTTCGATTTGTGGGGTGGGGCATTGTTGTGGAGGAGCGACCAGGAACCTTCCTCTTGATATTCAGGTCGAATTCGAAGAATTCTCGCCCACAAAAGATTGAGGACTCCAAGATAATAATCAGAATCCACTGTTTGACTTTCTGGCAGAAATTCCTCGTGAATGATTCTTTTGGAATCGAAGAAAACGGTTAGCAGTGTCTTTACTCGACTCTTTTGCATGCGCACTTTCTTTGGTTTCGGCTTCTTTGGGCTCAACCTGCTGCTTTGTGAGAGGCTCATATTGAAAACAACCATGTCGCGTCACCAGTAACAATCGATTTTGTAAATTTTGTATCACTCTGGGCCGACCATAACGTGTCTTTGCAGTGTTTCACTCTGGCATGTTTTTCATTGCCTGAGAGCGCGTGCAGTACAAACTGTGCATGGACCTTCCATTTGCCCAAATCCTTGGTCAAAATTTGATGCACAGTACTTTTTGGTATTCCCAAAATCTCCTCGATGAGTCTTGCAGAAACACATCTGTCTAAAGCAAGGATTTTGGTCACTTTTTTCACATTTTCTTCAGTGAGACCTGTTCTCGGCTTTGATGCATGTGGAGCGTCTTCATGTCCTTCCTACCGTCATGAAATACAGCATACCACTGAAAAATGTTTGAGCGACTCAAATAATCACTACTGTACACACTTTTCATCATTTCGTACGCTTCTCCAGCTGTTTTGCCTAACTAATTTGATGGTGGCTCTCTGTTGAACCACTATTTTCCGACGAGCATCAGAACAGTACTGTTACATTCAAGGTCAGAACACATGATGCAGCGATGCTTGCGCTTTGAAATTATAGACAGCCACAGCTGAAACTTCAAGAATCTTAATGCCACAACTTACCAACAGATGGCATTGCAGGGCCAAATTTAAAAAGAATTAGTCCAAACAGATCCTGGACACACCGTGTATGTATCTTTAAATAGCCTTGTGTGTAGTCACTGTGTATTTTTGGTTTCTCTTGTGGGGGAACTCCATTGGGGCTATACATATGTTTTGTACTTATATGACACATTCCACATCCTTCAGTCATTCTGACTGACTTTGGATCCGGAATGCAATGCAATGCAATGTAATGCCATTAGAAAGGTCCGGGAGAACTAGGTGGGACTGAAATTAAAAGGGAAACATCAGCTGCTGGTGTATGCCAATTATGTGGATCTACTGGGAGATAACATAGATACAATAAAGAAAAAGAGAGAAACTTATTAAATTGATGCTAGTAAGGAGGTTGGTCTATAAGTAAACACAGAGAAAATTAAGTAAAGGTTACCATCTCATCACAAGAATCCAGGGCAAGATCATGACATAAAGATAGTTAACAGAGCCTTTGAAAATGTGGCACAGTTCAAACATTTGGGAACAACAATAACAAATCAAAATGTGATTTAAGGGGAAATCAAGAGGCGACTGAATTTGGGTAATACTTGCTGCCATTAGTCCAGAACCTTTTGTCTTCTCATCTGCTGTCTAAAAATGAAATATTAGAATAAACAAAACTACCTAGTGCAGCTAGTAAGCATATTGTAATATTCCAACACATTCCTTCACATAATTCCAAATGTAGGTAGGGGGGGTCTGAACTTCATGACCATTTGCACACCTCTATCCAGTAATTCAAAGTTAATAGAATAATAAAAATACTCACTTTAATTCCTTTCTGTAGTACATGAAATGGGATTTCTCCTTCATCATTCACATCAAGCAACTGATGGTCACTTGCCAAGAACATCGGTTTAGTGTCAGTGTCTGAGCCAGGTTCAGCTTTGACTTCATCCATTTGTGCTGAAAACCAATATTATTCACTGTACTGAACATGTACAAAGATCAAACACCACTACTATACAATCTGAGAGGAAACTTTATCTTTTATAATTACGGTAAGGATTGGAGATAAAAGTACACATCACAGTGTATGCCTGCTTGTGTTCAAGAGGAATAAAAAAAGAGGTAGTGCTTTCCCTGTAGCAGGCCATGGAGGCCCATAGGGCTGTGAGACGTTGAGGGTCCCACATTATCTAGACAATCAGCTGACAGATGGCGGTAAGGTTGTCAGCCTTATGTGCCAGCCACCCTTTACTCCCCAGGAAGATTCCTGGTACTCATTTCTGTTAGAGGTTGAGTTGACCCCAGAGCCATAGTGTGGCTGGAAGGATTATGTCAACTGAAAAATCCACCTCATCAGGACTCAAACCTGCGACCTTCCGGCTTGTAGCATAGTGCCACAACCAACTACACTACCACGTACCCAGTTTTAAAATTTTATGGGAATATCGCGTTAATATTATGGCACTNAAATTTAGACTTTCTTCTCCAAAATTTAGTTACTTTCAGAAGTTTATTTCAAATTACACAAAGAACAAAGGCGAAATAAAGTACCACAATAAAAGTTCTGTCAAGAGAGAGAGAGAGAGAGATCAGGACGGCCTGCAATGAGCAGAACTGAAGAAAACATTGCAAAAGTTTGTCAAACTGTGCGTGAAATCGTCGGCTGACTGTCAGAAGCATGGCAAACATTGATAGAGAAACAGGGAAATCTTAACTGAAGATCTTGACATGAGGAAGGTGTGTGCAAAAATGGTCCCAAAGGACCTGCTCACATGGCACAGTCTGTGAGCGAGTTTCTAGCTAGTAAACAAATAACTGTGCTGGAATATCCCACCTGTTCACCGGATCTAGCCCCCAGTGACTTTTCTCTTCCAGAAGATAAAGGAAATATCGAAAGGAAGGCATTTTGATGACAATGATGACATCAGGAGTAATATGACAGCAGCTCTGAAGGCCAATCCCCAGACAGCTTCTGGCCCCAACAAGTGCATGGCTCTTCTAAACGGCCGGAGTAAAAGCAGGGGGGCACACTGGAACCAATAGTTGTCTGAGTGCTTGAAGCAACTGGAAGTTGACCCCTGATGCCAATACTCATTACTCAGTATTCAATACCCAATGAATGGTGAGACCAGTCAGTATGTGGACCTACTTTAAAATATTCTCCAGGCTTTCATCTTGGAGGTCTCAGAAAAGCCATGAAACTCTAGATCATAAATCTGCAAATATGGCTTGAGGGGCTTATGAACGTTAATCTGATGCTTTGTTACATAACCAGTACATAACCAATACTTTAAAGTGTTTTCCAGGCCTTCTTTTTGGGGGGCTCAGAAAAGCCACAAAACTCTAGATCATAACAGCCACATTTGCAAACATAGCTAGAGGGGCTTTTGAACGTTAACCCGATGCTTTGTTGTATAACCAATACCTCTATGAATAATGGCATGTTAAAGTCTAATTACATAATTTTTAGCACACAGAAACTCTAGAGTAATCTAAGCTTCTAGTTACATGCTTCCTAAAAGACTAATTACAAATCTGCCAATTCACATTATATAGGCATTTCCTTCTCTTACCTGGGTTGAATTGCTACAGTTGTGAGATTAATTCCGAAGGAAGATTCCCATCCAGAGTATGCTGAAGGACATTGCATTAATGTGGCCTCATTTTCTCCTGATGACAACAGTATTGGTCAGCAGGAATGAAGGCTCTCATCATATAAATAATATGTTCATCACTGATGTCCACCTTAAAACTGTAATTCGAATAAGTACCACAGAACAAACAGCGCCTCTGAATTCTGAAGCATTTTCTTTAACACGGCCTTCATTATTCGACTCCGATATTCCAGTTAACGGCTGTAAAAATATTAACCTGTAATTTGAGTGACCACTAGTTTCTTTTACAATTTCTTTAAATAATTACTTTGCTATTACGAAGGAAAATCGTAAAGCTCGCGACAAGCGGTGTTGACGACTTTCAAGAGAACAGACTTGACATGCGATTATTAAACACTTCCATATAGAAAACACTGCAACTGTGACATAAAATATACCAGCATTTCAAGTGCACATCTGAATTTTAATTAACAAACGCGCCAGTTTAAGGACGATCTGCGTCTAAATTAGACTGAAAAGTTCAATTACTTTCACTGATTACAGCTGTCACACATAAAGAGGAACGAATACAACGTGCAAACGCATACATCTAGCGTTGCTACCGTTGCTACCACAATTCGGTGGTCTTCAGGTGTACCAACTGATGCTATATTCGTGCCGTTCGTGCCAATCTAAGCCAGCGTTGGCCAACCTAATACATTTCGAGGGCCAAATTTAGTTTATAGAACACCATCAGGGGCCAGATACGGTGTTTCTTTCAGAAGAGTGGTCGGGGAGTATTGCCCCCCAAACTGAATCAGTCACAACCCGTATAAAAACAGTGCATTTAAACCTATGTATTTAAATTTTACGTTGCACCAATAATATTAAGCCGATATTGAAAATTTCACCAATCGATTTTATTGCCTTCTATCACTTCTACCCCCAGAGCATTTTTTCTTAAAGAAACACTGGCCAGATCATGTCTTATGTTTAGTTTTATATATGCCGGGGGAAAATGCAATTATAATTTAAGAAAGAAAAATAAAATGCCTTGAAATGTGCAATTACTTACCATAAAACAGCACAAATTCCTCTTTCAGCAGGGATGAGCACAAAAGACTTTCAATCATAGTTTTTATGGTCTAATGATTATACCTAAATCCTCATATACACACTGTTTTAATGAGAGCACTGTGGTTTCATAAAACTGGAAACCAATGATATAAAATCCACTTCTAATTGTGAGGTTGCCACTCGAAGAAT